TGTTTATATATGAAAAAACATAATTATGAATGTACTCGATTTATTAGTTAAATAAGATTGATAAAGATATAAATGTGATATATGATTTAGGGTATAACAGACAATTACATACTTCAAGGTTCACTATTCGAGAGCTATATACTCCTACCAGATATATAGGTAAAGTGGTTTCAAAGTATGTATGGTCACACAACCTATTTATGTATGAGTCTTGTAAAATTGAAGAGAGAGGTGGGCCCATTGCGTGTGAGTGAGAGATGTTGAATTTAATCGAGTGGGTTACCCATGATGAGACTCGATCCCATTTGGATTAGTAATTATTAATCCAAACGGGATCGGGTCTCATCATGGGTACCTACCTGATTAAATTTAACAGTTTACAAAAAAAAAAGGATAATAGAAAAATAAAATTACTCATTGAGTGATAAAGAAATGTCTATCATGGAATTAATTTGAACACTAAAAACCCTTAGTTGTGTTATAATTTATCAAATTTGGTTTTTACTGATGACTCAGTTGACTCCCAAAGTCTTCAAAAATGCATAACATATAAGAAAACAAGGATATTTATGATAAAAGGCGATAAAGGGGGAGGATATTATGAAAAAAAAAAATTATTGTGGAAACATGATTACTCAATTGATTTTATAAATGTGATCATAAGCCGAAGGGACTAGTGGTGACTCGAGTTAACAACAAAAAATTAAAGAAAATTCAAAACACATAAATTTAAGGAAAGATTCTACTTTCAGTTTCAATGATCCAATGGTGTAGTAAATAATTAAAATAATTTCATAGAATAAAAATCACTCATGATCTAATTATTCAAAAATCATCATCAAGTGAATTTGTATCAATATTAGGTAGGTCCTTGGAAATAACACCATTCACTAATGATTGTCCACAAAGCAAGTCGAAGGCAAACTTTCAGTAAGCATTGGGTTATCTCATCATTAACATATTTAAGAAACTCAATTATAGGTAATAGGGGTTGACTTGATCGTTGGCATTTAAAGCTTTAGATTACAGGATTACGTAAAAGGTATATTGTTAAAATTGATTATGAAGAGATTGTTTAGGCCTTGAAATGTATATCAGGTCAGGTTAGACTGTGATTTCATCACCCTCAACATTCCTCTTCTTTTTTCCTATTTGAACATGCCATTTTTAATCTAATTCACTTAATCTCTTCCAATAACTCGAGCAAGTTTTTGAGGAATAACCAATGATTGTTGAAAATAAAGTTGTTTTTACTTTTGATTAACAAAAACTTTATTTTTGATTTTGATTTAGAAGCCCGCTTATGGTAGTATGAAGTTCTTCCTCTCCATCTTCTAGAAAATTCGTCAACCCCAATTTGCTTGTAATATCAACAATCAATAGACTTAGTGCAGAAAACTTGGCACAACTATACTTTAATTTATTTTTGAACTTGTTGAAAAGTGTTCGATAAATCAAGAAAAACTTCAGTTTTTATGGACTATTGGATTATTAGATTGATTTACGGGGATATTGATTTATGAGTCGGCATGAGAAAAGTTGCATGATTTAGAAGTTGGTATTTGACGAATAATTATTTAAGCAAGGGTTGTGATTGAAAAATTTCCTTGATCATAATGGAGTTGAGCGATGAACATTTCCAATCTTTGGTTGATCCACAACTATAAAAACAAGTTAATCATGAATCTAAAGTTACTCTAAGTAGTACAAATTGGCTTGTGATAAATAGTCATTTAGAGAATAACCATGAATATTTAATACAAGATTTAGCTTCTTAGATCAAATAACTTTGTTCAAATTTTCTCTCACTTTCATTTAAGATTGAAGCAAAATGAGACTTACCAGATAAATGAAATTTTTTCTTCTTTTCAAATTTCTTTTACCCTCCTAAAAAATGTGAAATAAAAAACAAAATGATTTTAGTATTTTTCTTGAATCAATGAAATTAATATATTGAAAGCCACTTTAAATGTTGAATAAATTTTGACTTGTAAAAAGTAAATAAGATTTAGAGTGATCAAAACAACTTTGTGGAGTGATGGTTAGTAATGAGAACTAACCTTTTTCTAAAGATGCTATAAAAAAACTTAATTTATAGTAATAATATCACACCAACGTCTTATTATATATTATGATTATTAAAATATGACGATATCTACATTAATGTCTATAAGAAAGGGATCGAAATATGTTAAATTAGTGCTTATTCTTACTCTCAAACTTGTTAGAATTTCCAAAAAAAGTATATATATATTGAGCATTTATATCCCTGAACATATATTACTTGCTATCACCGGCCCAAATCCATGAAAGGCAAGAGGAAAATTTAAGTTCTTTGGGACTTCAAGCCTTGCCACAAGCGCATCACTTTCTCCTATCCTCTTAGAATCAAGAATAACAAGATAACACCTTTGTATTGAAACTGCATACTGCAAATCAAGAAATATGAATCATGCAACGGACTCTCGGCTTTGGAAGGTGAAAAAACAAAGAAGAGAAAAAAAAAAGAAGCCTATGAATATAGATGAGCAAGTTGATGAAGGTTTAAAGCGAATAATACAAGTTTATTGAAGTTCTAACCTCAACCAGTAAAAGGTATCCATCGTCTTCTTCACTGCCACTGGGGACAAACGTAGGCTCACCAATATATCTTCTAGCACCAGTGGACCATGTGCGAGCGTAACCCATTGAGACATTTTGCTTGACCAGCATATCAAATGGAAAATGAGGCAGCATTTGGCGAGACCCAGAAGAAGTAGCTGCATAAATGTATGTGTTTTTCTTGCCAGAAAACTTTGGGTTAATTACAGGAAAATCTGATGGTTTAGTCCAACCATTTAGAGGTTCTAGACAACATCTTTGGCAGTTTCCATCTTCATCCAGCTTTATATATAACTACATTTATTAATTATATAAACATCATTAGCAGAACTAAAATCCAGTGAGAGATATAATTAAATTTTTCGATTACCTTCACAAGGTGGGGTAGCAAACCATTTTCACCTTCTTTTAAGTTCATAATTGAAGGGTCTAATTTACCACTTTGCCAATTATATCCTGTTGAATATTAGCATAAGATATATATGTGAAAAAGTCAATAAGAAAAAGTAAAGAGAAGAGATTGCCATTTACCAAACATTTTCTGGAAATTGAACCAGTGGTAAGAGCAAGCAACGGCAAATATCTGGATCTCTAAATCACCATTAACAGTGTCGTTTTGCTCAAATGCATTGGCAAAATGTAAGAGCCATAACTGTGAAGGAGCCTGGATAGGCACTCTCCAATCTCTACCTCCATTAACAGATCGGTTGGGAAATCGAGGAAGCAAGTAAATGGGAGAAGTGGGTTTGCTGGGATTTAGGGACAAGGCTGATATCATTGGAGATAACCCACATAAAGCTTTCATTGATCCTGTACTAATTCATCAGTCATTAACAAAATAAATATCTATAAATGAAAATGTTCAATATTAATATATATGTACCAGTGAGATCAAGCTTGACGCGATTGGCGAATAGTATATAATACGTATCAGTAAAGGCCCAATCATGGATCATTAAATGATCAGGAATGCTGAACTCTTGCCTCTGCAACAACTTGAAATCTGAGTCGTATTCTGTCCAAAATATACATATTTACACATTAATTACACTGAATTTTCATTACTTTGATTAATTTTATGCATATTAATTTACCATAAAATGTAAAATTGCTGCATGGGAGTAGCATATCCTCTGCATTGCAAGACATTGTAAGAAGTCTACTTCTTCCAGCATCGATTTTGTAATGAGATAATAATCGCTTTGGTGGCATCTTAAACACACCTGCTCAAAACCCACAATTATTATTTATACTCAAAACACTTGCACATACATACATAATAATCCCCATTTATATACACTTCAAAAAATTAAAAAGAATTACTATTTATATCTTATTGTTTGCATACCATAAAGAATGGGTTTTAATAAGCTGGCAGCTACATCCCATACATGATCATTTCGCCCATGCTTCCGGCTATCCAAAAGCGAATCACAGCCGTCCATCACATCAAATCTATGGAGAGTATCCAACGTCCCAGATTCCATCTCGTATGGATCTCCACCTTCCCAGAAGCACAATAACCGGCCACCCCACCCCAACACGCTGGTATTCGCTACGTTTTTCATTACCTTTGTATTACCAAACCTCTTGCCACCTTTAAGCACCGAGAACGGCCCACGATGGGTAAACCGCCACGTGTCCGTTACGGGATCATGCTCCTCCACCTGCGCCTCGGTTTTCACGTACTTGGCCATGAACTTAACCTCTTTCGTAAGGCCGTTAAAACCGAAGGCTCTGAGGTAACCATGACCATCTAGAGGGTGCACCGTCGAGCCATAATCATCGGTGAAAAGCCCCGGACCAGCAAGGTAATACGTGCCGGAGGGGAAGCCGGATGGAACTGCACCGTCAACCACTCGGAGGGTCACTGGCTTTTCCGTCTCCGACCGTTGAGATACGAACAAGAATTGGTAGTCCCAGAAGGCTGCGACAGAGTCATCCACATTCGAGGTTGTAAGGTGGCTCGATGATGGCACATGGTTCGGTTGGGTGGGTATGGACATGGCTCGAACTCGAAGTGGCTGAGCTGGCTGACCGAAGTTCACTAATGAAGTGTTGAATAATTTTGGGGGGATAAGATTATAGCAGCTGCAGGCTTTCATTTTTTGAAGAAGACAATGGTGAAATTTCCTCGTGTTTGAAGTGTGGAGATTGCAGGGAGAGCCAGTTTTGTGTTTTTGAAGAAGTGACATGGTTGTGGTTTGACGTATATGCCCAGGAATGTGGGTAAAATTACGGATTTGCCAATCCCTTAGGGTATAATCATGGAGGACATTTATGGCAGACATATGCTTAGCTTATTATTTGTTTTTCTTAAAAGAAATCATGCAAAAGAGTATTATATTAAATTTAAAAAATAAAATATCATACATTAAAGTTATGCATATATATATAATGTTGCACTGAAAACATTAGAAATTAAGAATTAAATTAATACATAAATAATCAGCTATTTCTTAATCATGATTGTTACTTTTATTCATCCTTATAATGATGTTAATTCAAATTAGATTTTTTTTTAAAAAAGAAAAATTAATTTAAAAAATAATATTATATTAAATTAAAAAAATAAAATATCAAATATTTATTAAAGTTATACATATATATAAACCTAATTTGAATTATGAAGAACTATGACACAATTAAATTGGAACGAACAAAATGTTGAATTAAATTGTACCAATCTATACTGGAAATCATTATTTATTTTTATACTTACTATTTTATTTTTTAATTATTTCTTTAATTAAGAGAAAAAAATAATAATAAAATAACTAATATAAAAAGGAATTTCAAGTCTTTTGTTAATCAAGCTAACACCCAAATTTGAACTGAGAAAAAAGGATTTGCAGCCCCCGAGCAGCAATGTTGTATGAAGAACATTAGAAATTAAGAATTAAATCAATACATAAATAATCAACTATTCCTTAATCATGGTTATTACTTATATTCATCTTTATAATAATGTTAATTCAAATTAGATTTTTTTTATTGCATATATAGTTTTTAGAAAATTGATTATGTTGGTTTTTGAAAAGTTGATTATATTATTATTTATATCTAAATTTTATCTAATTATTTAAAATTAATACATAAATAGTTGACATGCTAAAATTTTCAAGGACCACTAATGTCAAATCCCAATAACTTGTACGTGAAATTTCGTAGTCAAATGTGAGAATCTATACACATACATAATACATATATATATATATATATACATATATGCACATATACATGCAAATTTAGTAATGGGAATTTTCTCTATTGTTATGATATTAACATAGATGAGCAAAAACAAACAGAACGAGGTAAACAGCGAAAGTGGCAGGTTGGTGATTTTGCATGTGGTGCACTAATTATAATTAAAATAGTAATAAATTAATGCGAATTAATATAAAAATAGGCCACTAAGAAACAATGATTCGCAATTTGATACCGAGAAGTATCGTTGGCGAGATTCTGTCCGGAGCAATGACAAAAAGTTGGCCAACATATACATCTGTCCGTATTTAAAGGAATATTATGACGTCGCCCTTATTTATTTATTTATACTAAAAAAGACAACAAAAATCTCTTACACAATATAACTAATTAAGTGCGTCACTAAAATTTAAATAAAGGTAGAGATTGGGATTTCAATGGTATGAATAAATTTAACGGAGCTCTCCAACAGATGGTCTTACAGATGTGTCATCAGTAAGCAATGCAATCTTCACGCACTTTGGATATGACTTTTGCTTATTTCTCCTCCTAAATCTCCATAACTTTGAGTACTGTTGTTGATTTATGGAAACCAAAAAATATATATATTTAAAATACTTCTAAAGAAATTTTAATTATAACATCCGCACACAGAGAGTTAATTAACTTTTAGAAAAACACAACGATTTATAAATTCAAAAAAAATGTTAAAAATTAAATTAAATGCGAAAATTATAAATTATGGGTTTAGGGAACCCAAACGAAGGAAAATTAAAAATTTAAAGTATTCTATAATTAAAATAAATAAAATACTAAAAAATAAGGTCAACCTATAATTTCTAAAAGTTTTGACACCTCAGCAAGTGAGTATCAAAGCTGGCCAATTGGGTGAAGTCATTTCGATAACATGAATTGCTTAGGTGGGCACGAATGAACAACTGAGATCTATTTGATATGATGGTAAGAAAATGTGGAGGGATGAATGACTATGATTACACTGTGTATCTAGATGTCGATCGAACGACCCAGATGAAGAGGTGTGATGAATGACCCAGATCTTTTGGAAAGAAGATTGGACGGTTGTGGAGAATGGTATAAATGTTTAACCCTGATCAACCTTAGGAGAGAGGAATCGATTTCGTGTAGAAGATAAAGAGGGAAGGGAGTGGCAGTCGGATGAGGCACACCATCGAAGGAAGCTCGACTGAGTGGAAAGGACACGTGTATGTGGACTCATAATGGTTGCTAAGTAAAATGAGGGAGACCAAGGGAGATTGAGGGAGATATGTGAGTGCGAAGAAAGAGGATGCGCTGAAAGAAGGCCACCACCGTGAAACTAGAAGATCGTATAACGCGTAGTAGGAGAGAGATAAAGAGAGGCACACGATAGAGAAGAAGAAGAAGGCCACGACTGTAACACCTCAGTTATCATTGTGCTAAATTGATTCGAAAACTCTATTTATTCGGTCCTTTAGGTGCCTTAAATTTAAAATAATTTACATTGTTCTTGAGATCTGTAATTTTAATATATTTATAACTTTAATTTTTTATTTATTTTATTATTATTTTATTTTAAATTATTTTATTTTATTTCAAAAGAAATTTAGAAAAAAATCAGAAAACAACAAAACAGGAGAAAACCTACCCATGGAAAAATCCAGCGAGAAAACGATTGCCTGGACGGGTGCGAGCACTGTGAGCGCACACATGCGTCCACAGTTGCTGCGGGGTGTGGGCACAGCGTGCACGTCCCATTCGCACGCTAGCATGCATGGGACGTGCATACAGTGCACACGTTTCCTCCCTACGTACGCATACACAGGACGTGTGCACAGCGCGCACGCTGCATCCACGAGCATGGCGTGGGGGTCAAGACATGTGTGTGCGTCCTGTCGTGTGCAGGCGGGCCGTCCGCGCGTCACTTCATGCATAGACTGGCGCCACACATTGTGCGCGCACCGTCCATGCAGCAAGCCTGTGCGGACAGGCCTTGTGCGCTTGGGGGCTATGCGCGCAGCGCTCAGTGCGTCAAGGACCTGCGCATGCGGTAGCAGACTTGTGCGCTTGTAGGCTAGCCTGCAGCGCATCGACCGGGCTCTACCACCTCGGGCAGTGCTCCACTACAGCCTTGGGTAGCGCACTACCGCTGCTGGTGGAGGAAAATTTTCCTTGTTTGCTCTTCTTTCTCTTTGCCTTCCTCTCCACCGGTCGATAACATCTTTCTCTCTCTTTCTCTCTCTCTCTTAGGGTTTCTTCTCTTTTTTGTGTAGAAACTGTGCCTTTTATATGGTAGTTGAAATTAAATTGTAGCTGTCCATTACGGAATGAGATCTGGACCGTTGATCTTTTATTTTCTTTTAAGATTTCCAAGCTTTTTCCCATTTTTTTTCTTGGGATGTTACACTTATTAGGATTTAGGGCTTAGGGCGGGCATAGAGATTAGGACTTAGGGCTTAGGGCTTAGAGCTTAAGACTTAGTGTTTCTTAGGGTTTAAGGCTTAGGGTTCGTAGTTTAAGGCTTAGGGCATAAGGTTATGGCTTACTAGGGTTTAGGGATTAGGATTTAGAGTTTAGAACTTAGAACTTAGG